TTTAAGGCAAGATTTCGATAATCCTGGCGCCTTAATTTGACGACGGTTTCTGGTAGTACTTTTAACGCTAAACAAAAAATTATATATAGGTCTTATAAAGCTAACCGCTCTGGTTTTTAAGATCTACAGTGTTAAAGTTAAAAATAAATCATATGAATTTTTAAATAATACTTTAATTGTGTGTGTATAAACAGTACACACGTAGGCGGGAGAAAGGCTACAGCCTCTCCCTTGCAAGCAGGGGGGTGGGGGTGAACCTCGGTTCGCGTAAAAAGTTAAAAGCCCGTTTTTTCTTCTTTCGTCGCTTCGTATGAAAAGTTGCATTGTGTAAAAATATTTAATACCTGTAACAGAAATAATTTGTTATAGCAGAAAATAGTTAAGATATTGAAAAGTGACACCTCGTGACACCTCGTTTCGCATGGAAAGTGTATGCGTGGAGGTAGTAGGTTTCGCTCCCCTGCGGGGGGCTCCTCTACCCAAATAGCCAAATGCTGTGAGTTTGCTGTCATGTTGCCAACAATCGTTGTTTGGCATTCGCCACTGTAAATAGTTTCGTTAGTATTAGTCTCAGTTTCGTCAGTATTCGTATTATCGGTACATTACCATATTTTCGGTGACTCGCCCGAAACGTCGGCAGATCATTCGATATTTCCGCGATTCACCAATCGGTGCTGCCACCGTACACCCTACGAGGACACCCGACATCAAAGGGAAGAACAAATTGCTCGCTCGCGGCACATTACAGGACCGCAAGCTCACTCATCGTCCAGAAGTTTCGAGGTGCACATTTTACACACTCGTACCTACAGAAGGCCTTATCGTGCTCGCTCCTCCAGGAGTGCGAACTTCTCCTGCTTTGCCTGCCTTGCCTGCACTGCTTTCGCTTGTCTGCCTGCTGCATGTCTTTGCTTGCCTGCTCTCTTGCTTGCTTGCTGCTTCCGCAGCAAGTGCCTGCTTGCACTCTGAGGAAGGACGAAATCCCTCCAGGAGACGACGGCCGACCGAAATATGAGTCGCTTGCTTTCGCTATATTCTTTTGCTTAAATTTCACGTTGAGGAGACGCAACACACCTCCTCTGGTCCTTCGAATATTTAGACAAACTCGCAACTGGGGCCTAACACCCCCCCGAGACAATCGTTGATGCAACTAATTTTGACAAACTAGGGACAAGGTGAGACAGTATTATGTCTGTCGGGTTGAACTCACATGAATTCTAATTCTATTCGGAAAATTGAGAGCGACATGTTTACACGGATTTATTATCTGTGAAGAGTTGATTTGTGACAGCAACTTGACGACAACTCGTTGTCGTCCACGATTAACAGCATACCTATTCAATGCAATTTGAGAGCAACTTCCCAGGCAGCAGCGTCACGTGATTTTTACGTCAGTTTATGGTCAATTGTTACGTCAATTATCCTTTTATAATTATGTAATAATGACTTTAAAAATGACAGGAATAAGTCACAGACCAATGACGACATTTCAAGACGTTAAAAACGTAACCTGTATGACCTTTTTTTGGCCTTTTAATTACGTTTTAATAAGAGAATTGTAAAAATCAAATTTATATACAAAATTATAATTAATTAAGAAACCAGATTTGTTATAAAATATATATACATTTTATGTTTTGTGTTTATTTAATTATTATCAGTCTTCAAAAATAAAGGTACCATTAATATAAGGTTACATCAATCTAAAGGTGTGCCACACTTTATTATAAAAGTGGACTCCACGATACAACTGATACAAGTTGTGCAGTTCCGTCATTTATATATCGTTCGTATATACTATCGTTCTTCATATTTTAAATACAAAAAACAGATCCTAACGGATGCCATCTATCGGATTCGACATTTGCACATTCTTTAGAAATGTATGACAATTTCATATTGTCAACACTATGTTAGCAACGACTTACAATTAAAAAACTTTATAGCTTGAAGACATATACGCAATAACGGATGGAAATCAATATATATGTGTTGTTGCCATCATGTTTGCATAAAACGACGAATCATACATTGCTGTCATGTTGCTGACATGTTGCAGACAACATAACGTACCAGTATTGCAGACAGTTTGCTCTCAAAATTGCGTCAACTGATTGCATGTATAAGCAGTCATGTACCTGTATTTGTAACGTGTCCTATTTTGATGTCAGCAAATTTACAGCAAATATATAACAACACATGCAATACATTAGTTTGCTCAATATGCTATATCACGCTTGGCTATCTGGGTATTGTTAAACTAGACACACAGTGTGCCTTCAAAGTACATGCGTCGGCTTTCCACGCGTGAAAAGTTGTAAACCCATGTGGCACCTTGTTTCATATCGATAACATATATCAAGGTCATTGAAATCAGTGAGATCGCTCTTAATCTAAAGTTTTACCAACTTTAACTCTGTATATCTCGAAAACCAGAGCAGTTAGCTCTATAAGACGAATCAATTGGTATAAAAAAAGACATAGTTTCTTTAAGAAAAAATATGTAATTTGCAATATGCATCTGCATACTTTTTCTTAAAAGCAACTATGTCTTTTTTTCATACCAATTGATTCGTCTCATTATTCTGTGCGTAAAAGTATTAAGATAATATTACCGAAAACTTAATGTTTTACAAGATATTTTGTAATTATGTCAAAATACTAGAACTTTCAAGCCTAATAATTCCAAAAGTTCTTAATGAAAAAATACTTTATTATTCATTTCAATGGTACAACAGTTCGAGTCGGACCTAAGCTTCCCCCAAAGTCATGTGCTTGTGGTGCGCACACAGGTTGTACACAAGCACATGAGAGCTACAAGTTTAATGCCGAATCCGAACGGCAAGGTAGAAGGGGTTTCGAGGCAAGAGATACTCCTGACGGGCTGTCATTCCGTCGAGGAGGAAAAACAAGCGATATAATTTATTTATTTTGGTTTTACCAGGACTGGATTCGAACCTGAGATCTTTGGTTTAGCAGATGAGTGCGCTGTCTGCTATGCCACGCTCGCTCACAAATACTTTATTATAGTGTTTTGAAAAGCTCTCGAGATTAGCTACAAAAATATGCATTGAAAAATAGGGGTTTTCATTTAAGAAATTGAAGGTGACCTTTACGTGATCTTCAAACATTTATCCAAGGTCAAACTAATGACACCATCTTATGTGTCCCACCAGGAGCGTGCATCTTGGACACCTTATATTTTGAAAACGAAGCAGTTTAGGACATATATTTATAGGACCTTTTCTTCTTAAAATAAGTCAAGGAATATCCCTTTCAAGTTTGTCCACTTACTTTAAAAACACCCCGGGAAAAATAGATTATATATAATTATATATAATCATATATATAATATATATATATATATATATATATATATATATATATATATGGGGCATTCTTTCTCAAAATAGCCACCTCTCTGCACATTTTATTTTTGAAGATAAAATGCTTTGCAAGATCTCAAAATTTCCGTCGAAAACTCAAGTTTTGGATGCCTTATGGCGATTTTCATTTACATTCAAAGGTGGGGCAGTATGACCAAAATATCGCTCAAACCACCCTAAAAATTAGAAAAGTATGCAAATAACATATAAAATCTTAGCAGTTTCTATCAAATTTGATGTAACTTTGAAACAAAATGGTTTATGACATCCAATTAAATAGTTTTTTAGACGTTACCCCCCCCCTTATAATCAAAATAAACCCTTAAAAACCACCCCTGAATCATCATTTCGACAAATTGACAATTATTCTAAAACAAATAGAGTAAAAAAATTTAAATAGAGTTCACGGGCCGTGAAATTTTTTCAGAATATATTTCAATTAAACTCAACCCCATAAGGATCATAACTAATCAATAAAAATCATCTCCTACACATCATTTAGACAACTAGGCAATTATTCACAGGCAATTAAACATAAAACTTTTTCATATATATATATATAGTTGTCTAAATATAATTTACCTACCTATATAGGTCCATATATAATTATATGTATATGAGAATAATTCTAAATATAATTAAATATGAACAATAGATGTATGCATTCATGTATGGATACATATAAGATTCATACGGAAGTATAAATGTATAACCCTATATGATTATATATAATTTCATGTAGCATTGTATATAAAAAGCAAAATTTCCGTACTTATACATATAATATACCGGGTGTTTTATTTTAATCGCCCCAGGCAAATATCTCGAAAAATATGAAAGATACGGAAAAACATTTCAGACAAAAGTTGTTTGGTTCGAAGAGGGACATAAGATGGTGTCATTGGTTTGACCTTGAGTGAACGTCCCGAGGTCATATGGAGTTCAACTTTGTTTTTTTAAATGGAACTCCCTATTTTTCATTGCATATTCTTGTAGCTTACCTAAAGAGCTTTTCAAAACCCTATATTTGAGTATTTTTTCTTGTACCTGGCTATCAACATTCTATCCTTTTTCTTCTTCTTTTCTAGTAAATACTTTGGTAACTCCTGTGTTAAAATCTCTTTATAGTTATGTATCTTGACTCGTTTATCTTTATCTGTCTCTCCTTCTCTTTTTCTTCTAATCTCTTTACGAGACTCTTCGCCGCCTCCCGGTTCCCTGCCTCCATTTCTTTCCTCAGCTGCTCCTTCTCCATTCCTACTCTCTCTATCAGTTCTCTTCTTTTCTTTTCCCAATTACTTTCTTCTTTCCTTGGTGTGCTCCTCTCTAGATCCTTTATACATGCTTGAACTATTTTCTTCTCTGACTGTCTCGCCTTCTCCTCATATCTCACAGCTCTCCTTATTGCCCTCATTTTTATCTTCTTTATTTTGGCTTCTTCTGATACTATGTACTTTATTACTTCAATTACCTTTTCCCTCGATATTTCTTCAATTACTCTTTGTTACCTCCACTCTCGTGCCATCTTCTTCTCCTTCGTCTTCTATGTCTAGCACCACTTTTTCCTCTGTCCCTCCTAGCATTTCCATAAAGTGGTCTCTCCTCAGCTGCTCCTCACTCGTCCATATGCATCTCCTCGCTTATCCCCTCAGCTTTCTTTTTCTTGTATTTATTTATATACTTCCAAGCTTCCGCTTCGTTTTTAATGTTCCTTATCTTTTCTTCTTCCTCGCTTTCGTGCCTCCCCTTCTGCTCCTTACACCATTTCTTGTGCTCCTTTTTTTCCCTCACATACTCTTCTTTTCCGATCCTCCCCTCTTCCAGTTCCTCAACAATCTCCTCAATCTTTTTTTCTTTTCCTTCCATTCTTTATTATACCATTCTTTTCTTCCTAATCTTCATAGTATTATTCTTTTCTTCCGCTTCGTGATAGCGCTCTTTACTTTTTCTTTCATCTTTTTCCAGATATCCTCTGTCTTTATTTGTGTACTCGACCATCCTTCACATTTCTCATGATATTCTCTCCTCCCATCTTCTGTCCAGTTGCTTCTCTCTATTTCTATTTCTTTCTTCCTTCTCCCTGTCTCCATCACTCGTGGTCCTGTCAACTCCACCTCCAGCGGAACATGATCCGATTCCGTTCTAATTTCTTCTTCCACCATATTTATTTCTTTCCTGCTCTATCATTCCCTAAGACATAATCTATAACCGATGATCCCAAGTCTCCTATATAAGTCCATCCCCCTTTCCTTTCGAAACTCCCATTTAATATCGCCCATCCTCTTTCTTTTATTTTATCTATTAATATACGTCCCTCCCTATTTACCACTTTATTTACTAACTTTCTGGTCTCGCTCCTCTTTTCATTCTCTTCCTCCTCGTTTATCGGTCCTCCTTTGCTTCCCGTCCTCGCGTTGAAATCACCTTTTACTAGCACCCCTTCTTCATCTTCTTCTTGTACCTTCTCCCTTAGTGTTTCCATTGTATCTTTCATTTTCTGACTGTACAACGTGATTATTCTCCATTTGTTTCCATTATACTCTAATCTGCTTTCTACCACCTCGTCGCTAATCTCCCTAACCTCTATAAATTTCAAATTCTTGTTGACTGCTGTTATTATCCTTCCTCTGCTCTTCCTTTCCTGTGTTCCCTTTTCGCTGGTACGCAATTCTAGATAAATTTGCTGAACAATTTATTTTTAATCTTCCTCCATTTATCATCCTCCATCCATGTTTCTACTAGTCTTATCACGTCAAAATTCTCCAAATAATCCCATGTTTCGTGACATTTATTAATTAGTCCCGCCACGTTCCAAAAGCATATCCTTAATCCTCTTCCTTTTTTCTCCTTATTTTCCTTTTTTCCCTTTTCTTTCACTCTCCTTATCTCCCCCTCCCTGTCCTCTCTCCTCTCTACTCTTTCGGAAAAACATCTCTGCTTTCTAGCATTTCGGTGCTTTCATTCCATTTCCATTCGCAATTGTCAATCCATATTTTTTAGTATTCTACCGTTGCTTTCTTCCCCTTTTCTCTCTCTGCTTTAACTATGCTCCCAGATGCTTTTGTATCTGCCTTTCTGTTGCCGTCAGATCATCATCCATAAATATCTTTCTTGCTTTTTCTATCTTTTTCTTCTTTGCCATTATTTCTTGTTTATCCTCCCATCTATTGAATCTGACTAGCGTCATTTTGTATTCTCCCCGGCCAATTACCTGCACTTCGTCCACTTCCACCTTCTTTTTGGTGATTTCTTCTTCAAGGAATCATCTTCTCTTTTCTTTCACCTCCATTTTCTACTTTCATTCCTTTTATAATTATATTATTTTTCCTTTTCCTCCTTTCGGCTAATTCAGAGTTTCTTTCCATCTCCTTCATCTTTTTCATTAGTTCACTGCTCACTAGCTTTTCACCTTCGCTATTCTCCATTTTTTCTACTTTCTCCTCCAACTGTTTTATTCTATTTTCTAAACTCGCTTTTTGCTCTCCCCAAAGCATTTCTCTCATTCTATAATCCTCCCTCAGTTCGTGTATCTCTTTCATTATCTCTTTCATTATCTCTTCTTTATCCTTCTTTCTTTCTCTTTCTTGTACATCCATTTTCGCTAAAATATCTTTCAGCATTTTCTCCGTCTCCATGCCTTCTTTTTTCTTTTCCTCTCTTTTTATCTTGTTTGGCGGCAATCTTGTCACTCTTTTTTCTTTACTAAAATTTGCCAGTATTTCTTTTTCGGCTTTTTCTGCTATTTTTTTTTCTTCGTCCTTTCCTCTTTTCCTTACGTAATCTGTAATTGATCCTTGACTTCCTGTCCTATCTCTTATTTTTGACAGCTCATCCGCCCTCGTGGGCCTGCCTCCTGTAATTCTACTTTTTTCTGTCGTACTCTTCTCCTTCTCGTCTTTCTTCAAGTTAATATCTTTTTCCTTGCTTTCCTCCCTTTTCTCGTCCATCTAAATCCTTTTCCCGCTTTTTATCTCTTCAGCACTTCTTTCCTCCTGTCACTCTCTTCTTTATCGACCTGCTTTCGTGATTCTCCGACACCGGTTTCTCCGTGCCTGCTTCCGCTTTTATCACGTAACCTCCAAATTGTCGCAGCAACACAGAATCCCCGAACTCGTCTGTAATTCGGCTTTTACACTGCCGATTTATATCTGCAGTTAGTCCTGCATATTTGTGCATGCAAACCACCTGAAACAAAGTCACCCCACGGCGAAGGAACGGTAGATAAGCTCGAAAAAACACTGGCGCGTTTGACAGGCGTGCTTCTTTCTACTTGCTCAATCCCGGAAATCCTATTAAGCTATATATATATAAAATCGATACAAATAAAGCCGCGCATTATTCCCCGAGTTGTTATTCCGGAACAATTTTGTCAATTACTTGCGAACCGCAAATAAAATTATAGGACCAACGGGGCAAAAGATTCCCAAGGGATTGTATTTCACGTCAGGGATCAATTGTAATTACAGTAGTATATAAAAATTGCCCACTTACGAGCTTAACTCCTGTTGCTTCAAAATGGTAAGAAAACGGGTGCATTTTCTTTTTTGCTTCCTCCGTTCAAACGAAGCTTTGAGCTGGGATAAAATGTATATATATTATTTAGAATTGACGTAAGCTTTGAAATTTTGCCACTTATATACGTTTCGTCAACTATCGTCACAGTCTCAAACTTGAGGTGCGCACTATTACCTACTGCGTTGTATTCCCCTACTTTCCCCTACATAGCAAGTATACTACGCATATTATATTGTATAATGTATGAATGTATCAAACACGTAGTTGATACATATTTAACAAAATGTAATAATATGGCGTACCATAGTAGCGCCCAGTAGTAACTTCAAGAAATTATTAAACGGACAGTTTTTTGGTCACGTTTCTATAATCGCAGTTACCTGAGCGTAGGACAATAAACACATTTAAATTATATAGTAAAAAATAATTTAAATTAAATAGTGAGTCAAAGGTAAATTCTCATTTCGTAATAGATTTATTGAATTTCCATATTATACAATTGTATGTAATTGTTGTACAATTAATGCGTATTTGATTGTGTTATTTTTATAGGTTAGGTACATAATAATAATATATAATTTTTACAATATTATGGAAAAGGTAACCGTGATATTTTTTCGAGGCATAACAGACGATTAGCACAAGAAAAAAGAGAGAAAGGTTATTTGTTGATATAATTGTCAAGGTGACTGTGGTGGCAGTGGTGTGACTGATTTTGAACCATCGGCCAAACGTATAACAAAATGCCGAATTGAAAAAAAAAATGATTATCAATCATTAATTTCAACATCACCTTCTCTCAGTAATAATCAGACTCACATCAATCAGTTTTCTATAATTATACAGGGTCTCGGGAAAAAAAATTATATATAATTATATATAAATATATATAATTATATATGATGCAATTATAAATTTTGTCTCTATATGATTATATATAAATATATATAATTATATATAATTATATTTGATCATATATAGTCAATATATTTTGAAAAAAAACCGTTTAACTTCGATAATAAAGCATTGATAAATTAAGTGTATATTTCTTTAAAAGCTATGGAATCAAAAGTGAAATAATTTATCCCATATATTATAACTTGGCGCTGCTTGGCGTGAGACACTGCCGTGTCTTTTGATACTGTTCTTATACCACTGTTCGTCAAATTTTAAATACGAGAAACAAATCCTATCGGATGCCATCTATCGGATAATCCAAATTTAAAAGTGTAGTGTATATGGGACGTTTCACGTCAACCGGATCACTTGTCTGTCCAAAATTTGAAGCGACCTACAAAGACGTTCGATAGCTCAAAAAATTAGTCTTTACTAGTACTTTCGAAAGTCATGTGTCCCGTTTTGAAATCCAAGATGTCTGATCCAATATGGCGGCTAAAAGCCTGAAAATTGGAGAAAAATTTACATAATTTAACGTAATCATGTTTTTAAATATTGATTCCGTTTTGAAATGGTTTGGTAAAGAGTTTTCAGTGTCTGTGATGTTGAATCTGGAAGCTAGTTGAAGTTTGGAACGTTCCTGGATTTTTTAAAAATGATTTGTCCCATTTCTTCTTTGGCACAGAGACATTTCTGAGTAAAAAATACGAAATACATAAGAGACCGAACCGATACACCCTGCAAAAGACACCCTTATACTAAAAAAACCTACCCCCGGACCACTTTAAATATTCTGGCTACGCTGAAAACGATTTGTCCCATTTCTTCTTTGGCACAAAGCAACTTATAAATTTTCTGTAAAATTCATAATTTATTGCATATCCCCGTAGAGTTTGCAACCTACTACCAATACTATATCCTTCTCCTCTCACTTTAACCCTTTGAATCAACGGCTTAACGTCTCTTTCCGAAAAACGGAGCCCAGTTTTCTCCGCACAAAAGCAATGAGACAAATCGTTTTCAGCGTAGCCAGAATATTTAAAGTGGTCCGGGGGTAGGTTTTTTTAGTATAAGGGTGTCTTCCGCAGGGTGTATCGGTTCGGTCTCTTATGTATTTCGTATTTATCACTCAGAAATGTCTCTGTGCCAAAGGAGAAATGGGACAAATCATTTTTAAAAAATCCAGGAACGTTCCAAACTTCAATCGCTCCAGGAACGTTCCAAACTTCAACTAGCTCTCAGATTCAACATCACAGACACTGAAAACTCCTTACCAAACCATTTCAAAACCGAATCAATATTTAAAAACATGATTACGTTAAATTATGTAGATTTTTCTCCAATTTTCAGGCTTTTAGCCGCCATATTGGATCAGCCATCTTGGATTTCAAAACGAGACACATGACTTTCGAAAGTACTAGTAAAAACTAATTTTTTGAGCTATCGAACGTCTTTGTAGGTCGCTTCAAATTTTGGGAAGACAAGTGATCTGGTTGACGTAAAACGTCCCATATATATTGTTATATATAATTATATCTCACATAGCAAATAATATTTCAGTAATATTACAGCAATATCATTTTTCCATTGCATTATTACAATGAAATATAGTATAAATATTGCAGTAATATTACTAAGATATCTCATTGTCAGTAATATTAAAATGTCCGCAAAAATGAATCACAGTAATATTACGGTAATATTACTGTAATATTTGCGTGATATTTACGTAATATTTGTGTGATATTAGATAATATTTATTTAATATTGCTAGAAATTAAACCATTTTAATGAATTTTAATAAAATTATATCAAATTGTTATTTTTAATACTCTTATTACATACAATATTAAGAAAATAATATTGATATTATCTTTCTATCTCTTTCTTCTTCAAAACTGCTCTATGCTACTCTGCATCGTATGAATTTCCACTGATAAAGAGTGATGTAACACTATAACATAATACAAAAACTGTAATTATTATTTATATCTGATTACACAGGGTGAGTTTTATTTTGTGTGCCAATTATCTCCGTTAATTATCTCAGAAAGTAATGGTTTATTGGAAAAATATTTCAGATAAAAGTTGAAAGAGAAATAATGGATGATCTTATTAGATTTAGGGTCGGGGACCCATATTGAGTCCAGTAGGGTCCAAGTTTTTAAATAAAAACTCCCATTTTTTATTATATTATCTACTTCTACTAATTAATATAAACAACTTTTGTCTGAAACATTTTTTATATTTTTTTCTTTATACTTTTTGAGATATTGTAGAAAAATTTGGTAATTTTTTTTAATATTTAGCTTATAATATCTTGATAAATGTTTGTCGAAGGGAAAAATAATACAAGACTTTTTTACTTGATATGGTCTCAAGAATATGCTATTGCAATAATATTCCAATTTCTTTAAATATTTGTGTATACATTTTCTTGGAGCTTTCATGTGTACACAATTATTTAAAGAACTTGGAATACTATTGCAACAGTATATACTTGATACTAAATCAAGTCAAAAAGTCCTGTACCACTTTTTCCTTCGACAAACATTTATTGAGATATTGTAAGCTAAATATTGAAAGAATTACCAAGTTTTCCTTGAATGTCTAAAAAAATATAAGGCAAATAAAAAAATGTTTCAGACAAAAGTTGTTCATATTAATTAGTAGAAAAAAATGATGTAATAAAAAGGGAATTTCTATTTAAATAATATGGCTTAGATGCTACTGGGCTTAACACAGGTCCCGGACTCAAAATCTAATAAAATTGTC